TTAATTCAGCTCACAGCAGTGCTGATCTCTCCGGTTGCCGCCCAGTGCATTTGGGGCCTCAGACTGACGTCACAACACTGTCCCTGCAGGCCTCTGTCAGGCATCCGTCAGCCTCTCTGTGACACCAGCGTGTCACAGATTAACGAGCTCGCACAACTGCAAATTCGTCCCTCCAACATTTTAACATCTACTTTAGGTATACTCTGTAACCTGTTGCAGTTTTTGGTCACCAAGCACAGCTCGAGCGGTGACATACCCCCTTTTCCCAATAAAGGAAAAATAGTGTGTTGTTATTCAGAACACAACATATGTAATGAATAACAAGGCATTGAAGTTAAGAAGAAAATTCTGTGTTGTGTGTTAGTAGAAATGTCTTGTTGTTGCTCATAGCTGCTTTGAGCTCATCCTGTTCTTCTGATATGTGTGGTCTTCTGATGTATGTGTGTGTGTGTGTGTGTGTGTTCTTTCTCAGAGTCTGGCTAAGCTAAGGGAGCGGTTCCACTCGGACCACAGCATGGGTCGCTCAGAACCGGACCTGCGGCACCCGTCAGGCTCGCAGCTCCTGCTCTGCCGACAGACGCTGGACGCCGGGTCTCAGACCGATGTTTCGGGAGAGGTGAGCAGGAAAGGGTGGGGAAGGTGTTGACAGATTCTGGGACGTGGTCGGTGGTGGTTGCCTTAAGGGTTAGGATCAGTGGTCAGACCTTAGAGGGTGTGGCTCAGGGGTTTTGAGGTGTGGTCGGGGAGGATTTGGCAGGCAGTTCAGGTACTCAACAAGAGGTCAGGGGTTGGAATGGACAGGGTGGTGGAGAGTTGGAGACATTGGGACTACAGTTGTGAGATAAGGCGGGGTTGACATTGAGCCATTGGTCAAAATATTGGGACTGACTCTGCAAACTGGAGATGTCATTGCTTAGTGTTTTTTGTAGTCTAGATGTAGACATTGTTAATGAACATGAACCTGTTAGAGTGAACCATTCGTGAAGCACCCAGTCAGAGGGGGCAGGCTCTTTGGATGCGGCAGATGCTTCCTGTTCCAGCAACTGTTATCTCTCCCCTGCGCTTTTTTTTTGTTAGGTTTTTTCTCTACTTCATCCCATAATACCCCTCTTTCTCCACCGAGCACTCCCCTTCTCTGGCCTTTCTCAAATAGTTTCGCTCAGCGTTGGAGGCATATGATAGCGGCCCGAGTCAAGTGCAGGTCAGCCTGCGGACTAAGCTCCTTACTCCGCAGGGTTTTGCACAACCTGGTCTTAGTTTCACAGTTGGAATGCTAATTGCAGGGGAGTTAGGGCTCCTAATGACATTAAAACCTGAACACTTGAAGCGGTTACATGTGATGTTTTTTTTCCCCTCAGACCTGTAATGGGTGGAAGGGGGGGGTAGTATATGCAGAGGGACAGGGAGCCCGTCTCAGGGTGTCAAGCCTTTTAATGAATGCCACGCAAGACCAGTCTTTTATCAGGGGCGTGAGTGAAACAGGGTAGCCCGAATCAGACACTGTGTAAGCTGCATTCTGCATGCTGCAAACCAAATGCAGTGTCTTTCAGAGTACCAGGCACACCAGGGGAAGCAGGGCGATGGCTGAGAGTGTTACAATGTGGGGTGTTTCTGTGATTTGCTGCCTTTTGGCTCTCGGTCTCCTGTGCATCTGTGTTTATGTACTGGCTTGCAGATTCTTACCTGCTGCTGGCTGTAGTGCTACAGGACAGACCTGTGTGTTGCTCAGGGGTTTTCTGTTAGGGAGAAACTCAGAGCTGCACAACAGATCTTCACATATAGACACACACACACACACACACACACACACACACACACACACACACACAGGCATGCATGTACACAGGAGCACACAGAATGAATACACACATTCACAGCTTCAGTGGAGCACGCAGGCACACAGACAGGAGCGCATGCATGCAGAGAGCCAGGCGGGGGGGCAGACTGTGCACAGATTACTGTGTCAGTGTCCCTTCTGCTCGCGCTCTGACTCCTCTCCCCCTCCCTCTGTGTGACAGGCCGGTTTGAGGAGCAGGTCCACACTGGCTGAGAAGGTCAGACTGAGCCTCCAGTACGAAGAGGCCAAGAGGAGGTACGCACCTTTTCCCCTGAGATTCTCCCTCTCTGTGTGTCTCTCTCTTTCTCTTTCTCTCTCTCTCTCTCTCTGCCCCTCCCTCCCTCTCCCTCTCCCTCTCCCTCTCTCTCTCCCCCTCCCTCTCTCTCCCTCTTTCTCTCTCTTCTTCTGTGTTTATTTCTCCCTTCTGCAGCCCTCTTTCTCTCCCTGCAGCCCCCGTGTCTCTGTCCTGTACCCTCTCTCTCGCGTTATCTCTTACCTTTTCTCCCGTCCTTTGTCTCCCACTTATCTCTGTCCATTCCTCTCTCCCTAACCAACCCCATCATGGAGCTGCGCTCTCTGAGCAAAGCCCCGTGTTGGTGATGATGGATGCTGGAGGCCCCCTTCTCCCTCCCCGGGCTCAGCTGTTCTGGGATCAGCCAGCGAGGCCCAGCTGGCTGTGTGTATCCAGCGCCAGACCCGGCTTTGCCGCTCACAGCTGCAGCGTGGAGCTCACGCTGTGGCAGCTGCTTCTCCATCATTTAAAATCAGGCTGAGCTCTTCCAGCCCAAATGGATTCTTTTGATCTCCGCCAAAAGTAAAGAGAGCGCAGGGCTGACATTTTATCTTTGAAATATCACACTTTCAAAAAAAAAAAAATTGAAATCCCTCTCTACAATTTCATTTCAATTTCTTCTTCCTACACTGTGATGGCTCGGCCTTGCCTCTCTCCTTCCCGAACTGCGGCCCCTCTCTGTGAGGTTCACCTTCACCCCTTGTTCACCTCAGTTTCTCCCTCTTTGATTCATCACCTTCTCCTCCTCTTGTACCCTCTCACCCTTTCTGAAACACTCACCTTTGTCTCTGGGTTCTCACCTTCTGAAACACTCACCTGTTTGTGACTTCTAACCAGGGGTTTCTTCACCATTTCTTTGTTCTCTCAAACTTGCTGGATTCACTACAGAACCCCGTGATCCAGATCATCCTCTCACCTGTTTCTCTGCGTTCTCCGTATCTTTTAAAAAGCTCTCTCATGGCTTCAGGCGGAGCTGAGTATTTGAAAATGATGACCTGAGAGAAGCCCCCCGTTTGCTGACTCTGGGCTTGAAGCTTGTGAGACAACAGCTCCCTCTGCTGGAGGGTGTTGGCTCTTACAGCCCCTGCTCAGCTTTGGCTGGTATTATTGTTTGGACGCGCCCGAGACTCCCGCTGAAAGGGAACGTGTAAAACCCAATCCTGCCATTTTGATCCTCTGTCCAAAACTCTGGCGATCAAACAAACAGATCAGGTTGACGCAGCAGGAACCACCTTAATGAAATGGTAATGTATGCACATTATTCCTAATGTTTATTACGTATGCCTTTTGAACTGGGCAGCATCGGTGGTAATGAGCCCGGCTGCCAGGGAGGCAGCGGGGAGAACTGAAGGAGAGGAGGAGGCGCCTCACGGTGGGGGACGGCGAGTGTAACGCAGAGGGTGTGTCCCCGGTCTCTGTGGGATGCTGGGAAATTGGCACGCTCCCAGCGGTGTACATGAAAAGGGGCCAAAGTTACCGTTTCTTTTTTTTTTTTTTTAATCTTAAGTTGCCCTTTCAGTTTGGACCGTCTCGGTCTAACGAGCTGGGGACAAACGGGTGTCGCTGCCTCTTGTACACGGACAGGTGACAGCCAATCATATTAGTCGTGTAATCGCCCACTAAGAGTAAAGTGGCACTGTCACCGAAGCCCTGTGAAGTGCAGGTAAAACCCATTACTGCAGCTAATCCCCAACATTTCAGCTTCTAATGGCTTAATCCGCGAGTGTGAACACGGCCCAGACATGACAGGTGATTCGCTGAGAGCTGAGGGAGGATGAGCCGGGGAGAGGCTGCCGCTCGCTCGCTCGATCGCCCGCTCGGCGTTTCGCCCGCTCAGCACCTGGCACCTGCCGGGGACTCTGCGGAGTGTCACACAGGTGCCCTACTCACGGGGACAGTCGCCAGTCCCACCGCCGACCCGAAAAATGTCTCTCTGACTCTTTCTCTCTCTCTATCGTCTCTCTCTTTCTCTCTCTCTCTCTGTCTTTCCCCCCCCGTTCCCTTCTATTCATTCGACACCCCCCCCCACCTCCACTCCCTCAAACATGGGAGGCGAGTGACCACAGGCCCATGTGTCTTTGTTTTAGGGGGTCAGAGTGTGACAATCTCGAGGGAATGAAACTGTCAAGCAGGCAGTTGCAGCTCAGAACATTTGCGCTGTTACCCTTCAGTCAAATACTGGAGCAGAATTCCCACTGCAAATATCCAGTCATTTAAATGCATATGTGAGTGTAGAACCACCCCCCCGGATACACAAACTGTGACATGACACGTGTTGATATCCAACTGCATAAGTGCATGTGTACATGTAAAATGCCCCCAATACACAAACCGCATTAACATGGCATTAAACTGCATAAGTGCATATGTATTTGTAAAATGACCCCCCTGAATACGCAAACCGCATAACGTGGCATTAACGTGGTGCATGTTAAGATCAGCATGGCTGGCGTGAAGATGGACTGGCGGAGGCTGGACGCGGAGGCGTGGCCGGGCGCGCTGGACGTGGAGCGCGAGCGCCTCATGCTGATCAGCGAGAAGGAGGAGCTGCTGAAGGAGCTGCAGTTCGTCACGCCGCGCCGCCGCACGCCAGGCGAGCTGGAGCGCCTGGAGGCCGAGAGGCACCGCCTGGAGGAGGACCTGCTGTCCGTCAAGAGCACCCCCAGCCAGGCACTGGCCCAGAGGTGGGAGGCTCCGCCCACACCCACGCCCGCACCCCTGCCTCACTGTACATTACGTTACGGCGATGTTATTTAGCGGACGCTCTTATCCAGAGCGACTTACGTAGGTTACAGTTTTTACATGTTAATCCATGTATACAGCTAGATATTTACTGAAGCGATTCCGGCCTAAGTACCTTGCCTAGGGGTGCAGCAGAAGTGCCGGAATCGAACCAGCAACCTTTTGGTTACGAGCCCTGCTCCCTGCTCCTTACCACTATGCTACACTGCCACCCAGTATTACAGAGTAGAGTATTACATGTCTTTTGCAACAAACTGGCAGTGTGTGCAGTGTTTGAGCTTTGAGCACAGAGGGCCTCGGTTTGAAACCGGCTGAGTCGTTTTCCAATAACGACCAGAATCCCGTAACAGCAGAACAAGCTTCATTCCACAGCAGTTAGGGGTGAGTAGGTTAGCCAGAATCTCCTCATCTCACTGCTCTCAGGCACCTGTGAATTGTCAGACGCCTGTGAAGTGATTGGATGATGTCACTGGATTATCCTCCAATGAGCTCCCACTCCGCTCTAATGCATTGTGGGACTTGTAGAGCGAGCAGTAGTTGTTTTCTCCTTGCAAGCGTATTGGCGGATTGCCTGAGGTTGTATGAGGTTGTCATAGCAAGACAAGCCAAGTATTCAATGCAAAACAGTGCATAAAGGGGGAAAAAAGCATTTAAAAATACACACGCTGTATGTAATCTCACCCTTGTTGAGGTGACAAGAAGAAGAAATAAAATTTAATTAGTAAAAATAACATGGTACGTTATCATCGGTGGTGCCCTCCAAACCACACTCACTGCTGCCACACGACATGTCTAGCTTCTTGGCAATTGCCAGAGTTGGTGTGATTTCTGTCAGGCACATGTCTGCTGCTGCCCGACTAGGCTGAAAGCTGCCACATCATAGGAACCGCCAGGCTGTGGCCCCGCCCCCAGACTGGGGGAGCGATGCCGTCCTAGTGTGAGAGCTCAGCGCAGTGATTGCGGCCAGCAAACAGGAACTGCGGCAAGTAAATTCGCAGTTCTGGAGATGTGGTGCACTGCGTTTCTGTAGTGTGAACAAAACTTAAATCCAGGAAACGTGGCTGAAAACTTAAAAGCACAACTCAAAGTGACGGCGTGGCCGACAGGGACTTTGTTCTGATTAATCTTGTCCCGGGTTGTGGGGTGTTTCTGTTGACAAACACAAAGCGTAGCCATGCTAATCAAATAGAAATTGTTTGCCATCTACGTAGTTGTTTCTTCTTTTTAATTTAATGAATATTCCAAAGGGTAACACAGTGGGTTTCTCTAATTAGTCTGAATTTACATACTAATTGCTCAATAATTATTGTGTTCAGGATTGGTTCGCAATTCAACTTAAGCATGACATATTAAAGGGTAATGATAGTGACATTGTAATTGGAGGCATTGTGGTTTTATGGCCGCAATTGTAATTACATACTGTTGCACATGCACTGATTTTACACATTAACTACATTGTAACCATTGATAATAGCACTGTGACTATGGGTGATTAGTCACTGTGTGATTGGTTTATAAATACACGGTAATTAGGGGGACCATATTGTAGTGTCTTAGCAGCGGAACTACAGCAAGGGAAATATTTTGAAGATGTGATAATCAGGCACTGGTCACACAGCTGAATTTGGCTGGTAAAAAAATCCCCCACTAGTTTCCGCCCAAACATCAGCTTGACATAAACGAGCTGTGAAGTGAGGAGCTTGCAAACAGATGTTTAGTTTTGTTAGACTGCAGGTTTTCCCTGACGGAGCCAGGATGTCTCTCTCCACCTCTCTTCCTCTCCTGCCTCTCTCCGGTCTGTGAGGCTCCTTTTACCGCGTGTCAGTAAAGCATGCAGAGGGCGTGGCCTCACCTGATTGGCTGTTTGTCTTCCTAGTGCTGCCGCTGTGCCAGTGCAGTGAAGTGAGCGCCATGTCACATGACCACAGTTAACCCTAGCAGATACAATGTCCCTCCCCCAGCTTCTCCGACGGTTCCGCTCAGCCTTCTGGGATATGGCACCGGGCAGGGGTCGCACTATGCGCCAGATCAGGAAAAGGCCAGCTCTGACCGAGGCCTCGGTCGTGTCGTTATTAAGCAGAGCAAAAAGGCAAACGGACACGCTGGAGACCTCGGCGGGGGGCGTGGCACTACTCGGCCCCTGCCCAGTCGTCCCCTTCGCTGTCCGCTCTAGGGGCCCCTGGTGCCCCCGCCGTCAGCCGAAGTGTCACTGGGAGACGTCTTCATCTGACGCGGGTCATGTGACCTCGGTGCGGCCGACCCGTGCACTTTTGCTGGCCGATGCGCCCGTTGCCATGGTTACTGGTCCCCAAACAGCGGAGTTGGAGGAAGAGAGAGCCTGCCTGGTCTTGTAAAAAAAAAAAAAAAAAAAAAAAGGGGGCACAGCTGTTCCTCCCTGCCACCTGGGCGGGGCACGGGCCCTCGGGTGCGTGTGTGTGTGTGTGTGTGTGTGTGTGTGTGAGAGAGAGAGAGGGTGAGACTGGGCCTGTAAACATGTGCGTGTGAGTCTGAGTGTGCTTTTGGGGGTCATTAATTGGATCATCTGGAAATTTCTGCTCTCCCACCTCTGTTTAATGATGTGGCGTGTGAAGGATGTTAGACCAGCGTTCATCACAGTCATTGAATAGTTACCCTGAGTCAGGGGTGAAGAGTGCAGCTCCTCAAGCAGTGTCTCGCTCAAACCTCAGTGATTCACTCTGCTGTGTCTTTGTTCTCTTAATAATCATAAAATCATAAATCAATTAGTAGAGTACAGCTAAAGATAGCACACGAGCCTTATGCTCAGATATTTTACTGTACTGTATTTTCGGGAAGCGCTTTCCTGTAGATTTGCCTAATTGCGTGACAGGACCAATTAAGCCAGGTTAATCAGCCTGGAAAAAAAAAACATCCTACAAAATAACAGCATGTGCACCAGCCAGTCCTCCAGGAGATCGTTTGCCACTCCGTGACCCGAGTTGTCCTTAGCAAGCCGAGGACAGCAGCAGATCTGGGGCACTGACACAGCCAGGCGCACCCTCATCTTCGCGGCGCTCCCGTGTAGCCATGGCAACGTGCCCCTCGCCTCTCCGTGGTGGTCCCGCGTTGCCGTCGGAGACGCGCCCCCACATCTGCTTCGCCCGCGTTTGGGTGTTGTCATGACAACGGCCGCTCACCTCGGTTCATTCCCCCCCCATCTCAGGTTAAAGGTCCAGGAGAGGAGGCGGGTTCTCCTGCAGAGGCTGGAGGAGTCCACCCGGCTGGCCACCGCCCTGCACTCCCAGCTCAAAAGGTACGTACCCCCCTGACCCCTGACCCCGCTCCCCATAACGTCAGTCAGAGTTCCCTCAAACAGCCCTCAAATTAGCATTACCATTATTGTATCTTACTCCACGTCCAACTGGCATGCTTGTGTTGGCGGCTCTTGATTGGCAAAACTTGGAGCGGAAAGGGGATGTTTTATTTCTTGGAGAAATTAAATTCTCTCCTCTCTTCCTCTCTCTCTGTGGGGAGCCCTGAAGCCCCCTCCCGCACAGTCCATGTTTTAGGGAAAAGAGCAGCCATGTTTTGGCAGGCGCGCCGACGAGGCAGCTTTTCTCGTTATTAGCAGCGTCCCCGATGAGAGGGCCTTATAAGCCCGGCCGCGGCGCCCGGGACCGTGTAATCCTCTCCCCGAATTAAACCTGCCCCAGGCCTGCCGCAGTCACACCCCCCCCGGAGTGAACGCTCTGTGGAGGGCCTCCGTGCGGGGAGCCGTGGGGTGCGGGCCACCACGCCCTAATGCCCTGTCCCTCCCTCCTTCCTGTTGCAGCCTGTCCGCCAGCACGCTGTCGGTGTCCTCCGGCAGCAGCCTGGGCTCCCTGGCGTCCAGCCGCGGCTCCCTGAACGCCTCCAGCCGCGGCTCGCTCAACTCCCTGAGCTCGGGCGACCTGTACTACGGCCAGGCCGAGCAGCCCCTGGACCTGGACTACCAGTACAAGCTGGACCTGCTGCTGCAGGAGAAGCCGGCCTACGCGCCCTCCACCATCACCACCATCCACGAGAACGAGGTGGCCCGCTCGCCGGGGCGGGGGGGTCGGGGTCGGTGGAGGCGGGGGCGGCCCAGCAGGCCGATGGGGGCCCCCCCGCGCAGGCGCGGCCGGCCGAGCCCCCCAAGTCAGTGGCGTCGCTGTCCTCGCGCTCCTCCCTGTCCTCGCTGTCGCCGCCGGGCTCGCCGCTGGTGCTGGAGGGCGCCTTCCCGCCGCCCGCCCACGACCTGGCCGCCGACTTCGGGGAGGGCGACTTCGCCGGACTGAGTTTCTACGAAAACCAAATCCTGCTGGACCCCGACGCCGGGGACAAGGAGCTCGGCGACGGGGTGCGGCGAGGAACCCTGGCGACGCTCCGCGAGGGAATGTCAGGTAACGGCGGAGAGTTCCGGAACACGTCCCACTCACCGCCACTCACGCACTCACAGGCGGGAGTTCACCGGGTCTCTAAGTACTCTGACTTTAATATCCACACATTTACACTCTTTTTCATCCCAGACATACAGCATAATTGTTACTTTGCTCTGTTTTTCGTGTAGCACAAGAATGCCACACGCTCTGAGGTAAATTCAGGTAGCTGCAATTTAGCGTCGCAGTGTTACCCTATTTTTACCATGTAATTGTCACGTTATCATGAGCTGTAACATGTCCCAGTCTCACCTTATGCATTAGCCAGAAAAAGAACAGAGGGGGCCTGTTATGTAGTGACTCTAAATTTGAACAGTGACAAGAAAGCAGCAGACCTGTCCCAGACACTGGGTGGGGGGTATGGGTGCAAGGGTGTCCCAGAGTCACCTATTACAGGCCAGGAACATTCCTCTGACTGAGTGGCATTGTCTTAGCGTTCGGTGATTCACCAGCTAATTTGATAATGGGCTCTAAATGTTAGATTCGAGTGCCGGCTGGCGTTGCGGCATGCTGTGATGTATAATGTGAAAAGGCAGACGCACTGGAAGTGTCTGTTTCCCGCTCAGAATGCCGGAATGTCTTTGTCTTTGTCAGGGTTTCTCTCTCTCTCACTTCTGTGCCGCGTTCTGCTTTGAGCGGCAGTAAGGCCGTTCTGATGATTGAGCTCCCAGTTTGAGTTAACCTTGAGAGCCTTGTCTTGTCTGTTTATTTTTGAAGAACAGTGAAGTCATTCTCTAGCATCATGTAAGATAATTAGCCCAATTTCACTTGAAAAGGGTACTGTGAAAGACAAGT